AATTCTCACGAAATTAATAGACAGCCTAATGTCTATTGCATTTTAGTTGTTGTTGCATTAAGTGTTTAAGAGGTCCCCTTCTGCCTAAGCAATTGGCTGACCTGTCCCTCTTTGGGACTCCTGTGTGTGAGTAGGGTACACATATCTATTGTGAGTTTGGTATTCACATAATTTCTGTTTTTGTATTGATATGATTTCTATTTTCTTATATTGATATGATTTCATTTTTATCCTTGGCTGCTCTGTTTATATACGCTCGAGTCGCTGTCCATCTCTCAGAAATAGAGTTAGTTTGGCCTTCGCTATTGCATCTCTTGGCTCTAGAAGATCTATGACAGATAGCGGATCTAACTGCAATTCTTGTTTTAACCTAGCCCGGGCTAGGGCATGGTCTTGACATTCTAATAACATGTGAGCAATGGTTTCAGCCTGATTACAAGATGAACAAACCTTGTCATAGTGCTTTATGTGACCGAGTCTTGAGGCATGAGATAGCAATTTAAATTTTCCTTTCATTTGAGTATAAGTTTGGTTTTTTTAGACCTTGGGTTGAATTTTGTATAGCCATCTGCCGACCTTACTTGCATCCCATTGGGCTTGCCATCTTAACAACATTTTAGTAATCCTTACTATCTTTATAGATAACTGGGCAATGAAGACTGCTGAAGTATGTAGACCGCTGTGATAACACCCAATCAGTAAACAATAAGGGCACGTGTCGTGATGATGGTAGAACAAGTGAGCTATCACCACAGGATGTTGGTCTGTGGGGCACTGTATCATGTCTCATGTCTTGAGTGGTGATAAGTCTCTCCTGGGTTCAGTATAGGTACAATGTTGAAGAGTCACTCACAGACAAGGAGAGTTGTTTTGTAATGACACCTTCAGTACATGAGAACTGCAAGCACATTTCAGCGCTCCAAATGATGTTTTACTTTTATTACTTGCCTGTGAATCACCTGTTTAATAAACACACAGCTGTGTTACACATTGTGTAATACCAAAGCCCGTGTTTATGTACTGGGGGAATATGTACTAACAAATACTGAAAACTCCCAACATCTCTGGGCGTTTGCTCGTCAGATACTAGAACTATTCACTCGTTTTATAATATTGGTATTACACGTTAGCTCTATATATGTTTACTTCCTTTTGCAATATAGTGTGGTCTGTCCACCAGTAATGTCTACGCAACTGTTATGAGTTGTGTGGATAGCATCAGGGAATCATCTTCCCGAGGCAAGAGAGTTAACTGACTTTAAAAGTCCAGTTTCCGCCCTTGCCGAACTTGGCTGGAATTCCTTGGCTCGATCGTAGTGCCAACTGTGGCTATTACGAGTTATGTCCTTTCTATGCCTCTCCTATTGACCAATCAGATTCAACCTCTCGTATCACTTGCAATTGCTTCAAACAAAACGGCGGCGCCATGTCAAGACGATCTGATCGATAATCAAGATCTATATTGTGATAAAATGAGTCTTACATCGCAAAGTGCATCAAATCACGTGAGCACCTTGATTATAAACATGAAAAGATTTAGAAAATATCTGTTGACAACGAGTTAGCGGTGCACATGCTTTGCAAATCCTGCAGTCGACCGAAATCTACATGACACTTTAGGAACCGGATTTCGATTTCGGTGTGCGATTTTGATTGGACTATGCAGAGACTCGTTAGTCCAGCCCAAATGTAACTCCATAATACCAGCCATTACCAGTTCGGCAAGGGTGGCAAAGCACTTCTTGAAACTGAGCGAGGACAATACCTCACCTTGTTCTCCCTGACTTCAGCATTGGAGAGAGTGTGATCACTCCCAGCCATACTACCAAAAACATGGGCATCATTGTGGATCCTATCTACAGCTTGGATAAGCAGCCATAAGCAAATGTGCAGGAGATCTGTCGATGTTGAGGCTACAAAAATGTGGATCCCAGCTTTTGTCATCTCTAGGTGGGGTCACTGTAATTCCCTACCAAGGAAGGATGCAGAAACACTACAGGGTGTTCAGAATACAGCTGGAGAAGTCTGACAAGAACACCAGAGTGAGAACATATCACTCCGATATTGACTGAACTGCACTGGCTGCCAATCCAACAAAGTGCAATTTGAAGTACTCACTCATGCATGCATAGTTTCGCTCCTGCAGACTTACAGGAACTCTACTATCATACAAGCCTGCATGTTCTCTCCGATCTAAAGATCAGCATCTGCAAAATATATGGCGATAGGTCATTTCAACATGCTGGCCGACTGGTATTGAACATCTGCCACAAGAATACGAGAAACAGAATATCTGACAAACTTTAAGAAGACACACAAAACCTCTCTCTTCAAGGTCAATCATGGTCTGAGCAGATTTGAGCAGTTGTTAATTGTAAAATGTGCTGTACAGATTCTTAATTTAATTTTTTTCATAAGCAGAATAAATTCTGCTTAAAATGCTGTCTTGACTCACTTCAATAATATTTTTTGCACTGTTTGCGACACAGATTTTCAAGCCATTTAGCAAATGCTTACTGTTTTGATTTTGACACGGGAAGTCACATTTTCAAAATGTCAACGTAACTGTAAATTTTTAGATGAAATGTTACTAAATTATTTCCTGTTATGAATTTTTTCAAATTACTTAAAAATGACAGGAATATCTATAAAACAAGTAATTAAATTGGAGTGGCCTGATGTTTATTAACAATAGTGGATTAACAAACACTGGAGAGACCGGCCATACAAGGAGGGTGTCAGTGTGAGAGTGTTGACCATTCCTACTGTTGGTGCAGTCCACACACAATATGCACTGATGTGTGTCTTTGTCCAAGTTTACACTTGTGGGAGTTTGCTGGTATGTTGACAATCACCAATGTAATGAGTGATTCAGTGATTACTCAAATATCAGATTTGTGTTTGTGTCATACTTCCTTACAACAGTTGCACCAAAATCAGGACCAACTTCTCTCAAGCGCTGGAACTTTCACACACATTTGAACAAAATGTCTGCATTGGCTCAAAATGTTTAAAGAGTGTTGAATTTTCAACAAATCATCTTGATAGTGCACACATGCTCAGTGCTATGAACATGATGAAAATGTTGTAATAAGGGGTTTAATTTATTGTTTTGTATTTTTTGAAACTTTGTTTTTGAATTCTTATAGCCAGCCCATAGAATGTTTGTTTTGTGGTAATTTCATTCAAACTTCAAAAGAGTAAGTACTATGCAGGGATTTTGCCTTTGTCTGTTTGCAAGTCCTGGGAACCTCCTGTAATACATGTTGGGGGTCTGTGGCATTATACTGACTATAAAATACCCCAAATCTACAAATGGCCACAGATCAGCTCTAAAGTAATGCTACTCCCTATCAGAACTTTGCTACCAAGGAAATAAATAAGGAGAAAATGGGTGTCAGAATGTTGTGGTTGGGTGTGATGAGGTGGCCTAGTGGTTACAAGGATGCTTGTCAAACTGAAAGTTTCAGGTCCAGTGTGGGTAACGCATTAGTGCCCAGTTTAGATGTTGCTGGAATTATTAAAATTAAATCACACACACACTCCAGATAAAAGGACTGCAACTTACTTCAATAAATTAGTTTTTAAAGTTTTTATTGCTTATGAATATATTCCAATTAAATATTGGGAACGCATGCTATAAGCGGATTAATGGAACAGTTATTGTGTCAAGCAGAAGTTTCTTGGATTTGCATTAAATGCTGCTAGTCTGGTAGGTGGTGAAATAATATTGAATATGGAAATTGGAACAGCTTTAGTATCTCTTAATAGCTGGGGCCTCCTTCCTGTGTTGTAAGAGCCAGATTATATGTTGATTGTACAGTGGAGCCTGTAGGTTTGATTCTTTATAAGATTCTTTATTACAGTATAAAGGCCAAAGGCCCATAATACATGCTGGATTTTATTAACATGTACTGCGCTTACGCTAATATAAAGGCAGATGTACAATCATATGCAAGAAAGTGTGGTACATGTTTCAAATGTTACCAACAGTTGTTTAACATTGAGACATTATGTTTCATTGAACCATAAATATCACTCATCATTTAAGAGTGCAGTTCCCTGTTTATAAACTTTATATAAATACTGACAAGTATCATGAATAACATAATTATCTGATGACCTAATACTTTTGCAAGAAAGTGTGGTACAGGTTTCAAATATTACCAACAGTTGTTTAACATTATAAATAGTATGTTTAAATGAACTATAAATATCACTCTTCCTTTAAGAATGCAATTCTGTGTTTATAAACTTTATGTAAATACTGACAAGTATCATGAATAACATTATAATTATCTGATGACATAATACTTATAAACGCCTGTAATGAGGCTGATCTAAAGTGCTTAACAATGTACATACTTCTTAAGGTATCATACTGTTTACACACAAGTAATACATGATGTTCATCTTCAATAGATGCAATACCTTCCTTGAGACAAAAAGGACAAAAAAGTGGAGTCTGTAGGTTTGATAGTGATAACATCTATCTGTAGGGCTATTGAGATAATAACATGTACAACTGAACACTTAACATACTGATGGGGAAAGTAAGGGAACAGATAGTAACACTGCACTGAAATGTTCACATGCGTGTCCAGTTATGGCCCTTGGTTTAAGGTAGCCCACCATTAGGTAGCCATTAGGTGCCCACTACAATGGTGTAACAAAAAAACGGGGCAAAATATGATTTTGTCTTCAGTCATTGTTTTGTTTTGATATGTTTAATCAAGATGTACTGCTGATATATGCAGAAGGGAATTTCCAATGTTCAAATTTAGGCCATGTGTTGCTCTAGGTCTACCAGTCGTTTATTGTGACTTAATGACTATGTCCCCAGGACCATTGCTGATCAGAAGAGGCAGTTTAATTGGGTCGGTGGTTAGGCTCTGTGACTGTAAATCTGTGACTCTATGACTCTGACTCTGTGACTGTCGTGTTGTCAGGCTCTATTAATCTTTTGTTTGAGTCATGTGCTATTTTTAAATATTTTCCAGAAACTTGATTCGCAATGGAATGTGGCCTACCTCTACATGGAACCTCTTCGCCTTGGTCACACCTCTCACTGCACTCCGATTGGCTGACTGGAAAGCTGTTCGTCCAATCACAGACCAGCTACATAAAGTGGAAGATCTGATTTGTTTACCAACAGGTACTTCTTTTGTAACCATATGTAGGTTTAACACAATATATGTATCATTTGGAGTCAAAATGTGATATGTATTGCAATAGTTTGCGTCAGCGTAGGAGTGCTTAAATATATTCTTTTGTTCATATAACAGTGGAAAACAAACGAGAAATTCAAAATTAATGTTGATGTCAGGTGTTTAAGATATCAACAATACATGATCAGACTGTTATGGGCATAATATGATAAAGCCAGAATGTCGATGAGATCAAAATTGATGACGATCCTATGCCTTGATAAATAACATTTGTGAAATGTATGTAACTGTATGTAAATGAAATTTGTATTAATAGAGAATGAAGGTTACCGGTAATGTATATTGTTGAGATTAATGTGAAGTCCATAGCTGCCAACTGTCTCCAATCTTTGTTATTTGTTGGGAATTTGGTACTAAAATAGGCCAATATGATTTTTTTTCAAGACACTTGAGTGTCATTATTTAGCCTTACTCTTGTCTTGTTTATCGACTAGTATGAAGTGGATTTATAGTGTTACTCATATTATCAGAAGTTGTTGAAGTCGAAATAGAAACTAGGTGATATTGTTGTCAGGCTTTGGTGACTGGACCAGACGATCCTTACAAAATACTAATTGTAATTTAGAAAAGTTAGCAGCTTTGCAAGGTGCATCAGTGCCTCAGTGATACTTTCAGCCTCCAGTGTATTGCTGTTTGGGCATTTAATATAAATATAAATACCCAGGATAGTTTAAAACCTGGCATACTTTTGGAACTCGTTTTCCCATTAAAAAACTGATCACAAATGAAAGAAATCCCTTTGAAATGCGATCTTGCAAGAGATACAGCCAAATCTGTTCCACAATGTGATATCAGTGCTTCAAGTTCTGTGTTCGAGTGTGGGAGAATTGACTCGTGGAACTGGGCCTGGTGAAGACATCTGTACATGGAGGTGGTGTTTCCAGAAAGGGATTCTCATCATGCATTATGCCACGTGATACTGAGATAAATGAAGGTATGTCATGAATTGATGGCCTTGTTTTATTTCCAGGATGTCCAGTTGTGATCAAGTCTGTGATTGGTTCAGTTGTTGTCGGTCTAGGATTTTTCATCGTTGTGCTGTATGTTCGTCGCTTCACCCTCCGAGCTTTGCTGTCATATCGTGGATGGATGTGTAAGTAGTAGCTATGTGTCAGCATGTGATCCACTCCAAGGACTGTTGCCTGGACCCAGGTCTTGGTTTGACAGACCCGGAGTGGCCACCCTTGTCCACCACTGTTGATGTTCCCCTGTAGGGACAAAGGCTGGCTCCTGCTGTGGATTTTTCTGTTCCCACAGTCAGGGGGAGCCCATCTTCCCGAGGCAAGTGAGTTAACTGACTATAAAAGTCCAGTTTCCACTCTTGCCGAACTAGGCTGGTATTATGGAGTTACATTTTGGCTGGACTAACGAGTCTCTGCATAGTCCAATCAAAATCACGCACCGAAATCGAAATCTGGTCCGTAAAGTGTCATGCAGATTTCGGTCGACTGCAGGATTTGCAAAGCATGTGCACCGCTTACCTCGTTGTAAACAGATATTTTCTAAATCTTTTCATGTTTTTAATCAAGGTGCTCAAGTGATTTGATGCACTTTGTGATGTAAGACTCGTTTTATCACAATATAGATCTTGATTATTGTATTGACTTGGTGCCACCGTTTTGTTTGAAGCAAATGCAAGTGATACGAGAGGTTAAATCTGATTGGTCAATAGGAGAGGCATAAAAAGGACGTAACTCGGAATAGCCACTGGTGGCGCTACGATCGAGCCCAGGAATTCCAGCCTTGTTCGGCAAGGGTGGAAACTGGACTTTTAAAGTCAGTTAACTCTCTTGCCTCGGGAAGATGGGGGGAGCCTTGACCCAGGTCTTGGTTTGACAGAACCGGAGCAGAGACTGGTTCCTACTGATGATGACTCCCAAAATGTCGTTTGCTTTGCACCTGAGCTCTAGTGTAATCCTGAAATGTAATCCTGAAGTACAATCATGTGTATTGCAGATGAACCCCCGAAGTCCCAGTCAGTGTTGACGCTGATCTGGGGTGCGATGGTGCGTATTGTGAGTGGCCGCCACCCCCTGCTGTACAGCTGCCAGCGTAGCCTGCCCAGAATGTCTGTGCCAACATTGAGACACACCCTGGACCACCTGCTGGACTCCCTCAAGCCCCTGTATGGGGAGGACTCCGAGGAGTTCCAGACTCTCAAAGCCGAAGCCAAAGTATTTGAACAGACACAGGGGCCAAAGTTACAAAGGATGCTTGTGTTGAAGTCCTGGTGGTCCCAGAACTGGGTCAGTGATTGGTGGTATGTATCATGGTTTTACATCCTGTTTAGGCTCTGGTCAAAATGTCCCTGGATTAATGAGGTTCAAACTGAAAGCACGTTCACCTGGATTATGATCATATGTCAACAACTGTATCAAATTTACAGGTTAACAGATCTACAAGGTTTACAGCCAGCAAACCTTATTAAGTTTTCTTACAGTTCAAGTCAATAAATAACAGCTCTTTTTGTCATATTTTTACTCTGAAAATGAACAGCTTCAGTGAAACAAAATGAACGATCGTGCCAGATCCAAAATCTTCCCAATCCACTGTTTACCTGCTGTCGTGGTATGGCAGGAGTACTGCATGCAGTGTCAGGCAATAGACATTTACTTTTTTATGCACACTCAGTGAGTGGCAGGTGCTGCTGGTAGAGTAGGACAGGCTAACCCATATTGCGAACACCTGCTGTCATCACCAATTTCCCATGATTCATTTATATAATTTTCATCACTATTTTGTCTTTTGTATCCAATGGAACCCTCATCAGCAGATAATCAAGACTGGTCATTATCTGTTTTTTTAAATTTTGGTCAGTATCAAACACTGTGATTGCGTCAACATTTTCGCAATTAATTTTCCGGGCTTGGGTAGGGGTATGTCTAAAAAATAAATGCTGATCTGACATCAAAATTTTGAAGTTTTCCAAAGCCCACTGACTGCGTGTCTTGCTGTGTGTCTTACTGCGTGCCTTGCTGTGTCAGGGAGAAGTATGTGTACCTGATGAGTCGGAGTCCACTGCCCATCAACTCCAACTACTACGTGATGGACCAGAACTCCTGGATACCCACACACAGGCCAACATCCAGGTAACTGCCGCACTTCGCTGTGCAGAGTTGGGTCTCTGAGGCCATTAATTTACCCACATGCATATACCAGATGATGGTGGTGAAACACGTATACTGTAGGAAGCAGGATATCACCTGCATGTTTGTGTGTTGTAGGGCTGCCACATGCATATACCAGATGATGGTGGTGAAACACGTATACTGTAGGAAGCAGGATATCACCTACATGTTTGTGTGTTGTAGGGCTGCCACATGCATATACCAGATGATGGTGGTGAAACACGTATACTGTAGGAAGCAGGATATCACCTACATGTTTGTGTGTTGTAGGGCTGCCACATGCATATACCAGATGATGGTGGTGAAACACGTATACTGTAGGAAGCAGGATATCACCTACATGTTTGTGTGTTGTAGGGCTGCCACATGCATATACCAGATGATGGTGGTGAAACACGTATACTGTAGGAAGCAGGATATCACCTACATGTTTGTGTGTTGTAGGGCTGCCACATGCATATACCAGATGATGGTGGTGAAACACGTATACTGTAGGAAGCAGGATATCACCTACATGTTTGTGTGTTGTAGGGCTGCCACGTGCATATACCAGATGATGGTGGTGAAACACGTATACTGTAGGAAGCAGGATATCACCTACATGTTTGTGTGTTGTAGGGCTGCCACATGCATATACCAGATGATGGTGGTGAAACACGTATACTGTAGGAAGCAGGATATCACCTACATGTTTGTGTGTTGTAGGGCTGCCACATGCATATACCAGATGATGGTGGTGAAACAGAAGCTGGACAGGGAGCAGTTTGACCCTCTCGTCATCCGGAACACGATCCCTGTGTGCATGGCCCAGTACGAGAGGGTCTTCTCCACAACAAGGTAACATGTCATAGTTACCTCCAGATTGTTGTTAGCAGAATGGAAATAAATTTATTACTTTTATTGGTATATTTGTTCATATGTTTGCTCATGTGTTCATATTTGTCAGGCATGTGTTGTTACCTAGCAGTTTCATATCATTCATAACTGGAAAACGAGTTGTCGATCCAGGGGAGATAACAATGTGCTGGGGTCGCATGACCAAATTGTCTCCCTTGACAAAAAAGATGCATGGCTTTTTTAGTAGTAATTTTAGTATATTGTATCTAAAGTTAACTATTTTATATTCTTGGGACAAACAATCACTAAAACATAGACATTGTAACAACCTATTGAACTACTTAAATTCCACATACAGGCTTGGTGTTTTGTGATGATAGTCGGTACCAGGTGTTTTGTGATGGAACTCGACACCAGGTGTTTTGTGATGGCAGTTGAAACCAGGTGTTATGTGATGGTCCTTGATACCAGGTGTTCTGTGGTGGTACTTGACACCAGGTGTTCTGTGATGGCAGTTGAAACCAGGTGTTCTGTGATGGTACTTGACACCAGGTGTTCTGCGATGGCAGTTGAGCCAGGTGTTCTGTGATGGTACTTGACACCAGGTGTTCTGTGATGGCAGTTGAAACCAGGTGTTCTGTGATGGCAGTTGAAACCAGGTGTTCTGTGATGATACTTGACACTAGGTGTTCTGCGATGGCAGTTGACACCAGGTGTTCTGTGATGGTACTTGACACCAGGTGTTCTGTGATGGCAGTTGAAACCAGGTGTTCTGTGATGGTACTTGACACCAGGTGTTTTATAATGGTATTTGGTACCAAGTGTTTTATGATGGTACTCGACACCAAGTGTTTTATGGTGGTATTTGGTACCAAGTGTTTTGTGATGGTACTCGACACCAAGTGTTTTGTGATTGTACTCGACACCAGGTGTTTTATAACTGTACTTGACACCATGTGTTTTGTGATGGTACTTGACACCAAGTGTTTTGTGATTGTACTCGACACCAGGTGTTTTGTGATTGTACTTGACACCAGGTGTTTTATGATTGTACTTGACACCATGTGTTTTGTGATGGTACTTGACACCAAGTGTTTTGTGATTGTACTCGACACCAGGTGTTTTGTGATTGTACTCGACACCAGGTGTTTTATAACTGTACTTGACACCAGGTGTTTTATGATTGTACTTGACACCAGGTGTTTTGTGATTGTTCTTGACACCAGGTGTTTTATGATTGTACTCGACACCAGGTGTTTTATGATTGTACTTGACACCATGTGTTTTGTGATGGTACTCGACACCAAGTGTTTTGTGATTGTACTCGACACCAGGTGTTTTGTGATGGTACTCGACACTAGGTGTTTTGTGATTGTACTCGACACTAGGTGTTTTGTGATGGTACTTGACACTAGGTGTTTTGTGATGGTACTTGACACTAGGTGTTTTGTGATTGTACTCGACACTAGGTGTTTTGTGATGGTACTCGACACTAGGTGTTTTGTGATGGTACTTGACACTAGGTGTTTTGTGATTGTACTCGACACTAGGTGTTTTGTGATGGTACTCGACACTAGGTGTTTTGTGATGGTACTCGACACTAGGTGTTTTGTGATGGTACTCGACACCAGGTGTTTTGTGATTGTACTCGACACTAGGTGTTTTGTGATGGTACTCGACACTAGGTGTTTTGTGATGGTAGTTGACACCAGGTGTTTTGTGATGGTACTCGACACCAGGTGTTTTGTGATGGTAGTTGACACCAGGTGTTTTGTGATTGTACTCGACACTAGGTGTTTTGTGATGGTATTTGGTACCATGTGTTTTGTGATTGTACTCGACACCAGGTGTTTTATGATTGTACTCGACACCAGGTGTTTTATGATTGTACTTGACACCAGGTGTTTTATGATTGTACTTGACACCAGGTGTTTTATGATTGTACTTGACACCATGTGTTTTGTGATGGTACTTGACACCAGGTGTTTATGGATGTTGACACCCGATGCTTCATGGTGGTACTTCATGTGGTTGCAGGATACCGGGAGAAGACATGGACATCATACAGCATAAAGACCCATCCGAGTCTAAGGTAAGCTGGCAGCTTCGTGAAGGTCAAGTCTTTCAACTAGGACACCTACTTGTGGCAGTAGGCAGTTACACACCAAACTAGGTGTCAGTGTGTTCTCAGGCAAAGAACATGACAAGTTGCTGACATTATTTCCTTGGCATTTTAGAAGAATGACACAGCAAGTCATATCTTTTCAATAATTGACCATGTCTAGGTCAAAGAATTTATATTGAAATAAATAATGATTTGCCAGCAGTGGTGGTTACCCAAATTTTCACACAATGCTGCCAATGTGTTTGTTTTTTGTTTTGTGGATTTCTTGGTCAATATCCCAAGATACAGGTTGATGTAGATAACTAAATGTAGCAAGGTTTGCCCTAGGGACCTCCCTGGTGATCATCTCTGCAATAGAGGTGTTGTCCAGAGTTCATTCTGGACTTGAAAAAAAGGTTGGCCCATGACCCACTTAACTCTAAAAATGTGGGCCATTCAGAAAATGTGATGGGCCATAAAATCATAAGATAGGATGAGCTATTGGTAAAGTTCAAGCCAGTTCCTTTGAAATATGTGAGGTGCGTACGTAGTTTCAGGATCCTCACTTGACAGGATAGCTTGTTAAATATCGGCTGACATTTATCTAGAATTACCTGTTTTTCATGTGAAAAGAATGAAATATCGTGACATGTGATATGACTGATGACAATTTGGCCATCGAGGCCATCAGGTCATGCTTTCCTAATGTCATGGAAATATGCATCTTGAAACACGATTGGGTACTACTGGTGATATGGACCAATCACACAAGCTGACACAGTGTCATGACTGAAATACTGTTCAAATGGCGTAAATCCAGACTCACTCACTCACACATTTGAAGAGGGTCTACTGAAGACTGAAAGTAGCCTGTCAAGACTACACGGCCAACTGACAACCCACTTGCAGTACGTCGGTTCAGTGGGGCGGTTTTCGAGTTGAAATGAAATGTGAAATGAGAAGCCTACAAGTTTTACCATTGGAAGATCCTGAAAGATACTATAATATTTTCAAAATTAATTACTTTTTACTGTCTAAAGTCCTCTGGTACTGGGATATGAAATGCCTATTCAAACATAACATTGAATAGTGTTCTAGAATTCATTCTTGCCACACTTTGATATCAATCAAATGGTACTTTATGGTATATAGTATATTTTAGTGTCAGTGAATATATCATTTGGCATGTTTCGGATTTTATTATCTCAGTAAGACATTAGCAAGTCTGCAAAATTGTATTTCTGAAACGTATAATGTTATTTATCAATACAAGATAGTTTAGTTTGAGAAATGTTGTAATTTTGATGTGTATACAATACATTCCCATGTTGTACTTTCAGCATATAGTGGTGTTAAGGAAAGGAGTTTTCTACAAGGTGAATGTGTACAGTCCAAGGAACCGACCGGTGCCACCTCAGGTCTTGGAGAAACAGTTCCAGTCCATTCTAGAAGATGCTGAAGCACATCAAGGTATCGGCGCCTTCAGCCTTTTGTGGGGATTTCAGGGTGTAGATCTCCGGTACCTGATGCTCAAAGTGTTGGCAGAATGGTGGTTTGACTTAACAAAAACTATGTAGGGTGACTACAGGTTAAAGTTTTAGTTTAAGTTTTTCAAAATCCTTGCAACTATGCTGGAGATCTCTAATTTCTAAAGCTCCTTGTTTGGTCATGAATATTGATTCCCACTGCCATCAAGTACAGGCTTAAATAGTGTGTGTGGAATAAAAACAGACTTTTGATGATGATGTCCGTAGCTGGAGAGTTAGACAAACAAACACCAGCCGTCCACACCTTATTTTTGACACAAACAGCCAGTCCAGCCACATTTTCTACCTGCTGCGTTTAAGTGTTTAACCCTGAATTATGGTGGTGTCTTTGTGTTCATTGTGATACCAACATCTGTAACAATGTGTCCACAGACAGCCTGTGTATGGGGGAGGAGAGTCTCCCCGCCCTCACCACACTCGACAGGACGTCCTGGGCTAAAATCAGGATGGATCACTTTTCCCATGGAGTGAACAAAGAATCTCTTGATATTCTGGAAGGAGCCATTTTATTTGTGAGTGTTTACTAACTTGTATATGATTTTATATTGCTGACTTTTGTGTCAAACAACATTAACTTCCTAACAGTGATTTTGTGAAAGAAAAAAACCCTGCTTTTGTTGTCAGCAACGTTTTCTTTTTATTTTATCATTTATCATCCATGTGCATCAAGAAAGGTTATTTAGAATCGAACACATCACACATCATTACTCAAAAACATATTTAATCAACATAGGCAATATTTAAAACAATATGAACAAAAGTAGTTTCAATTCATTCCCTGTTTTACATCTTTCACCATGTTTTTGACTGTTATATAATTACCTCCCTTCCACACTGAATTTGAAAACACAGTCCTTCAACAGTAAATGAGTGCAGTATCCTATTCAGGCCAGAACTTGGTCAAACCACATTCTGTTTGTGATGAATGGGCATGTAGGCACCGTCAATATTGCAGTTAACTTTCTTACATATGTCGTGTATTTTAGGGTTTTATTGAAGCTGAAACTGAACAAACAATTAACATAAGCGAAAATTTAAGCACACATAGACAACTGTTTATGTCAGCAATGATTCCTATATTGGAATTATGAACTTCGCTATCATGTTGTTGAAGTTCTAACAAATAGTGTGTCTTTGTAGAGGTGACTAGTATTTTACCGATAACAGGGTCATTATAGAGGAAGTTTTTGGTTACTTTGGAACCTTATTTTGGTTTTCAGCTTTGCATAATGTTGCAACAGGTGGTGTGGAAATAGTGTCTCCCTGTGGAATAGCTTGTATAATGTATGACACTTATCATGTGTGTTGCAGTTGAGTTTTGACACTCACAGCTTCAAGGACTACTCCCCACGGGCCAAGTACCTGCTGCACGGTGATGGCAAGTCCATCTGGTTCGACAAGTCCATCAATCTCATCTTCTTCAGCGATGGACGCTTCGGCATGAACAATGAACACTCCTTCGCTGATGCCCCGGTTGTTGCTCACGTACAGGAATTCAACATGCTCAACGAGTGAGTATTGAAATGTTTTACACTTCTCGTTTTGTCTGACACTGAGGCATAGCTACGATGAAGACAATAACTATACAGCTTAATGTAAATGCTTTTCACTGATGTTGAAGGTCAAATTCACTCTCAAGGTCATACACACAAACGTGTTTAATGCTCGTGATAGCTCAAGAAGAGTTCTCAGTTTTAGGATGAAATTGAACTTTGGTACATTTCATCCTTAGGGTGGGGCGTTGAATTGCTAACCTTTCTTGAAGGTCACAGGAATGGTCACTTGTAAAGTATTTCTCGTTCTATGGCTCAGAACCAACCTGTGTTGAAGTTTGTAAGGTCAAGCACCCATGTTTTCAACTAGAAATAATCAATCATGTGATTGGCTGAAATTGAAGGTCATGGTCATAAAACCGGAAGCGCATTTTACATTCTTAGTAAGGTAGTTAGAGGCTGTGGACTTTCTGTTATAAAGTTTACAAGTATTGTGCTTGTGTTTTCCAAAACTGAAATGATGTCACAAAACTTCGAACTGCACATAATTATCTTACTAATATTGTTAGAGGCATGGGACTTTCTGTTTTTAAGTGATGTCATTAAACAGAAATGTGTTATAAATGTAGCTACAGGCAATAGGACTTCTGTTTCAAAGTTGCATAGCATTGGGAATATGCTTTCCCAGAAGAAGTAATGTTATTAAACCTGACGTGCTTACAACTTTGTTATTAAGGTACCTGTTACCACAGGCCTTTCTGTTACAAAGTTGTACTGCATTGGGGATATAACATCACGTGATGGTCAGACGGGGCGACTTGATTGATAGTGTGTCAGTGTACCCTGACATTGTGGGCTGTCTGATTGTTGGAATACTTACAGACCGCTGTGATAAAGCTGAATCATTGCAGCCAACTGTATGAGTGTTGTATCTGTCAGAGTGATCGGCCTCCACGACACGGACGGTTATGCTCACCCGGTGCCCTGTGAGCAGACGGAGAATGTGAAGCCAGTGCGACTCATCTGGAACATCGACACAGGCCTGGGCGGGCGCATCAAGCATGCCATGGAGGTTCACCAACAGGTACGGCATGCTTCACTGTGCGTAGATCTGCAGATGCAATTTTTTAGTTTTTTTTTTGCTTTCCTTCTTTATTCATCTCAGCAGGTACAGCATATATATATATACATGTCATGTCAATACAATTGTGGTACATGTTATTCAAGAAGTGTAGAGGTTTTTATACACATAAATTCTTGCCTATGAAGTCAACGTACTGTATCAGTGTGTATTACAGATTGATTTTTAAACAAAGTGTGGAAAGATTTGTCGTGGGAAACAGTACTGATGATTGCAGACACAAAGGCAGACTGTACCATGGATATCATCCAGACAGTACTGTTGATGCAACCCAGACAGTACTGTTGATGCAACCCAGACAGTCCTGTTGATGCAACCCAGACAGTACTGTTGATGCAATCCAGACAGTACTGTTGATGCAACCCAGACAGTACTGTTGATGCAACCCAGACAGTACTGTTGATGCAACCCAGACAGTACTGTTGATGCAATCCAGACAGTACTGTTGATGCAACCCAGACAGTACTGTTGATGCAACCCAGACAGTACTGTTGATGCAATGCAGACAGTCCTGTTAATGCAATCCAGACAGTACTGTTGATGCAACCCAGACAGTACTGTTAATGCAACCCAGACAGTACTGTTGATGCAATCCAGACAGTACTGTTAATGCAACCCAGACAGTACTGTTGATGCAACCCAGACAGTACTGTTAATGCAACCCAGACAGTACTGTTGATGCAACCAAGACAGTACTGTTGATGCAACCCAGACAGTACTGTTAATGCAACCCAGACAGTACTGTTGATGCAACCCAGACAGTACTGTTAATGCAACCCAGACAGTACTGTTGATGCAACCCAGACAGTACTGTTGATGCAACCCAGACAGTACTGTTAATGCAACCCAGACAGTACTGTTGATGCAACCCAGACAGTACTGTTAATGCAACCCAGACAGTACTGTTAATGCAACCCAGACAGTACTGTTAATGCAATCCAGACAGTACTGTTGATGCAATCCAAACAGTACTGTTGCGGCAATGCAGACAGTACCATGGATATAATCCAGACAGTACCTTATGCAGACAGTATCATCGATGGAATGCACACAAAGTTGCTGAAGCATTGCAAAGGTCATTGTCTACATAATTCAGACATTGTTGATGCAGTGCAAATCTTGTTGCTGATGCAATGCAGATGCAGATGCAGAGATAACACAGACATCATTGTTGACTCAATTTTATTGGGATATAAATGGAAAACAATCCTCACAGATTCCATGATTGATACCTTGGTTGTTACTAAATCCACCAGTCATCGATGAAATGATTAATTGGCATTGTGGAAGCTGTAGTATCATTGAAGAGAGGGTTGTCTGCTGTGTAGGACATGCTTGTGGATCACTTGCTTGATAAAGGCACCAGCATCTGTACTGAAGTGTGGAATTGTGTAGGACATGTCCATGAGTCAGCCCTGTCATCACTTGTATATAACATTGTAGGTAATGTGTCCATGTTGCAGAACTGTGAGAACCTGCAGATTGTGGTGTCAGACTTCCAGCACTTCGGCAAGAGCTTCATCAAGAAGTGTAAGGTAGGAAACAGATAGACATTGACAGAGCTTCATCAAGAAGTGTAAGGTAGGAAACAGATAGACATTGACAGAGCTTCATCAAGACGTGTAAGGTAGGCCGCAGATAGATGTTGACAGAGCTTCATCAAGAAGTGTAAGGTAGGCCACAGATAGATGTTGACAGAGCTTCATCAAGAAGTGTAAGTTAGGCCACAGATAGATGTTGACAGCTTCATCAAGAAGTGTAAGGTAGGCCACAGATAGATGTTGACAGAGCTTCATCAAGAAGTGTAAGGTAGGCCACAGATAGATGTTGACAGCTTCATCAAGAAGTGTAAGGTAGGCCACAGATAGACATTGACAGAGCTTCATCAAGAAGTGTAAGGTAGGCCACAGATAGATGTTGACAGAGCTTCATCAAGAAGTGTAAGGTAGGCCATGGGCAGATGTTGACAGCTTCATCAAGAAGTGTAAGGTAGGCCACAGATAGATGTTGACAGAGCTTCATCAAGAAGTGTAAGGTAGGCCACAGATAGATGTTGACAGCTTCATCAAGAAGTGTAAGGTAGGCCACAGATAGATGTTGACAGAGCTGCATCAAGAAGTGTAAGTTAGGTCACAGATAGATGTTGACAGCTTCATCAAGACGTGTAAGGTAGGCCATGGGCAGATGTTGACAGAGCTTCATCAAGAAGTGTAAGGTAGGCCACAGATAGATGTTGACAGAGCTGCATCAAGAAGTGTAAGTTAGGTCACAGATAGATGTTGACAGCTTCATCAAGACGTGTAAGGTAGGCCATGGGCAGATGTTGACAGCTGCATCAAGAAGTGTAAGGTAGGCCACAGATAGATGTTGACAGAGCTTTATCAAGAAGTGTAAGGTAGGCCATGGGCAGATGTTGACAGCTTCATCAAGAAGTGTAAGGTAGGCCACAGATAGATGTTGACAGCTTCATCAAGAAGTGTAATGTAGGCCACAGATAGATTTTGACAGAGCTTCATCAAGAAGTGTAAGGTAGGCCATGGGCAGATGTTGACAGCTTCATCAAGAAGTGTAAGGTAGGCCACAGATAGATGTTGACAGCTTCATCAAGAAGTGTAAGGTAGGCCACAGATAGATGTTGACAGAGCTTCATAAAGACGTGTAAGGTAGGCCACAGATAGACATTGACAGAGCTTCATAAAGACGTGTAAGGTAGGCCACAGATAGATGTTGACAGAGCTTTATCAAGACGTGTAAGGTAGGCCACAGAATGCTTCATTCATATAACAGTGTAGAATAATGTAAAACAATCACCCGAACACACCCTCCGACCACCTCACTCCCAGCATGCTCCTGTACTCCTCGTCACTTTTTCCTTCATCGCCTGTATTGGATAAACGTGTTTTGCTACGCTCCCAATTTATGATTGGAATTGACTTAGTTTGACTTTTTTGGTTTGCTGATTTAATTATGCCTTATTAACATTATATGAGTCCCTGGTCATATTTTATCAATAAATATAAGAACTTCCTTACTTTGGAGGTGGGGGAGCCATCTCGGGAACCTCCAGTCTTCCCGACTATGGACCGCCCGTTTCCCCATTGGCTATTCAGACTTTGCAGACGATCCTGCAGGGTACTCGTCTCATGATAGCGACGGATAATGACACAGTCGCTCATTACTCCGATTGGCTGGGATCCTCTCACTAGCAGAGTCTCCTGGATCTTACGTTCGCATTCTACAGTCTTAAAGACAATCACCCTGTTGGAGCTGAGAGCTCGCCATATCCCAGGCGTCACCAACATTCTCGCTGATATCCTCTCTCGCCCCAGTCAGTCAGCTCCCCAAGTCAGTGGCCTGAGTCCACCAGCTGGGTGCTCTCGTCTACACCCAACAACTAGATGCACCTCCACATCAGTCCTTTTCTTGTTAAAAACTTTGCAGGGGAAACAGTTGTTATACTTTGGTAGTTGAACACTGGTTGTGTTAATTGTTTGCAGGTGAGCCCTGATGCCTTCCTCCAGATGGCGCTTCAAGTGACATACTTCAGGAACGCTGGCAAGTTTGCTCTCACGTATGAGGCATCCATGACAAGACTGTACCTGGCCGGCCGTACTGAAACAGTGCGATCACTCACCATGGAGTCTGTGGACTTTGTCAAGTAGGTACTCGGATAGAGTAGGGCACTACCTGCATTTAATTTTCTTTTGAATACGGTGCTGTGATTCTTTTGAAAAAAAAAAAAATGTTTTCCTGAATAATCCATCTCATTCATTTGAAATAGTGGCAATGTTGGCAAAACCGCTTTAACAGGGGTGTTCATTATGTTGGTTTATAGTTGAATGTGTAACTGTTAAAGCACTGTCAGCATTTTACCACAAATTCTATCTTGGTTTTAAAGAGTCAAGAAAATGTGTAGAAATTTAAGTAGGGGTGTATGTTAGCCTGCGTGCTCCAGTGTAAACAAAATTGGCATTTGAACCCTGAGAGCCCAAGTCAAACAGGAGTTGAAACAGTACCTTCTCCAACATCTGTTGAATCTGTGGGATGATGTACAGAGCAATGTAGATGAACTGTAGCAGGACAGTGAATGTATAGGAGACAAACACACACTATAGGTGGGAGACATTTTATTTCGTCAATGGAAGATTATATATTTTTTACACCGTGAAACATTACAGGAATAATAAGTGATATAAACAATACACATAATCTAGTCAATAACATCACAGTAGTACAAACTGTTACATTACAAACAAATCTTACTCTTATATTAGTCGTTATAGTGTACAGTAATATCTGCTAATTGATGTCAGAGCCAAACCGTTAATATATAATATATAATATTGATAATTATTCTAAGTGTAAAGAGATTATAAATCTCTTACAAAATACATACATGCACATGAATTTATTGGTGTGACACACTTAATATGTTACACAAATATATAAAAACAGATTATTCCAGCAATAATGTGCCTACCCTGTGGGTGAGACTGGGGTGTCTTCCCAACCACAGTACTGCAACATGTTATTCTGGATATCTGATAAACATATAGTTTTGTAACAATGACTAATACAACTATACTACTTACATACACTTTACAATATTACTACGGATTCTACAATATCCTATAATACAGACAGTATCTTACACAGAACTAATCACAAGAGCATTTAAAACATAGCCTATTCTGTAAAACAACACATACACTCTTTCTCATACATACGAGTACATAGAAAAGTGATATATCAGTAATTTCCAAAGCTTACAATTTATAAGTCTTGTTTACCACATTTACTAAAATAGATTGTAACTGACAATATGATAATATTAAACACGTTTAGTTAAGTTAAATATTATAGGTTTAATATACTGCAACATTTAAATGCAATAACTTACAATACAAATATATACAAACATATTAAACTAACCTGATTCCGATGGTTTTACTTGGCAACTTGTCTGTAAAGAATGTGTGCAGACTGAATATGTGCAGTGAGACAAAGGGTTAACTTAGTGGGCTAGCTTGGCCAATCAGTTGAGCAGTTGAAGACACATGGACTACATTTAATCTATCCTAACCACTCAGTATACATAAAAGTTGAACACTAATAAGCAGACACTGTAGAATAATAAAATAAACATGAACAATAGTTGCATCTGTCACAGAATGATGAAGCAATAACACTAGATGCAGAGTAACACATGGTTCAAACCCATCACCTCAGTGACAGTAGCACATGGTGTATGTTATCATCTCTGTAACACTAGATGCAGAGTAACACATGGGCAGAGTAACACATGGTTCAAACCCATCACCTCAGTGACAGTAGCACATGGTGTATGTTATCATCTCTGTAACACTAGATGCAGAGTAACACAGGGTTCAAACCCATCACCTCAGTGACAGTAGCACATGGTGTATGTCATCATCTCTGTAACACTAGATGCAGAGTAACACATGGTTCAATTTTTTTGTGTTTACCTCAGGGCGTTTCTGGACAAGAACGTGCCAGGGGAGGAGAAGATCCGGCTGCTGTTGCGAGCATGTGAAAATCATCAGATCATGTACAAGGACGCCATGAATGGACTAGGAATTGACAGACACCTGTTTGCCCTCTATGTAGCCAGTCGGGGACTCGGAGATGTGAGTACTGTGGGTTAGACATATACGTACTGGGGGCTGGATACATGAGCACTGAGGGTTGGACATGGGAGTACTGGGGGTTGGACATGGGAGTACTGGGGGTTGGACATGGGAGTACTGGGGGTGGACATGTGAGTACTGGGGGTTGACATGTGAGTACTGGGGGTGGACATGTGAGTACTGGGGGTGGACATGTGAGTACTGGGGGTGGACATGTGAGTACTGGGGGGTAGGCATAGGAGTACTTTGGGTTGAACATGTGAGTACTTTGGGTTAGACAAAGGAGTACTGGGGGTTAGACATGGGAGTACTTTGGGTTGGATATGTGAGTACTGGGGGTTAGACATGGGAGTACTGGGGGTTGGACATGGGAGTACATGGGGTTGGACATGTGAGTACTTGGGGTTGGACATGGGACTACTTTGGGTTGACCATGTGAGTACTTTGGGTTAGACATGGGACTACTTTGGGTTGGACATGTGAGTACTTTGGGTTAGACATGTGAGTACTTGGGGTTGGACATGTGAGTACTTTGGGTTGACCATGTGAGTACTTTGGGTTAGACATGGGACTACTTTGGGTTGGACATGTCAGTACTTTGGGTTGGACATGTGAGTACTTGGGGTTGGACATGGGACTACTTTGGGTTGACCATGTGAGTACTTTGGGTTAGACATGGGAGTACTTTGGGTTGGACATGTGAGTACTTTGGGTTAGACATGTGAGTACTTTGGGTTGACCATGTGAGTACTTTGGGTTAGACATGGGACTACTTTGGGTTGGACATGTCAGTACTTTGGGTTGGACATGTCAGTACTTTGGGTTGGACATGTCAGTACTTTGGGTTGGACATGTGAGTACTTTGGGTTAGACATGGGACTACTTTGGGTTGGATATGTGAGTACTTTGGGTTAGACATGGGACTACTTTGGGTTGACCATGTGACTTTGGGTTAGACATGGGACTACTTTGGGTTGGACATGGGAGTACTTTGGGTTGGACATGTGAGTACTTTGGGTTAGACATGTGAGTACTTTGGGTTGACCATGTGACTTTGGGTTAGACATGGGACTACTTTGGGTTGGACATGGGAGTACTTTGGGTTGGACATGTGAGTACTTTGGGTTAGACATGTGAGTACTTTGGGTTGACCATGTGAGTTCTTGGGTTGGACATGTGAGTACTTTGGGTTAGACATGGGAGTACTTTGGGTTGGACATGTGAGTACTTTGGGTTGGACATGTCAGTACTTTGGGTTGGACATGTCAGTACTTTGGGTTAGACATGGGAGTACTTTGGGTTGGACATGTGAGTACTTTGGGTTGGACATGTGAGTACTTTGGGTTGGACATGTGAGTACTTTGGGTTGGACATGGGACTACTTTGGGTTGACCATGTGAGTACTTTGGGTTGGACATGTCAGTACTTTGGGTTGGACATGTGAGTACTTTGGGTTGGACATGTGAGTACTTTGGGTTGGACATGTGAGTACTTTGGGTTGGACATGTGAGTACTTTGGGTTGGACATGGGACTACTTTGGGTTGGACATGTGAGTATTTTGGGTTGGACATGGGAGTACTTTTGGTTGGACATGGGACTACTTTGGGTTGGACATGTGAGTATTTTGGGTTGGACATGGGAGTACTTTGGGTTGGACATGGGAGTACTTTGGGTTGGACATGTAAGTACTTTGGGTTGGACATGGGAGTACTTTTGGTTGGACATGGGAGTACTTTTGGTTGGACATGTGAGTACTTTGGGTTAGACATGGGAGTACTTTTGGTTGGACATGTGATCACTTTGGGTTGGACATGTGAGTACTTTGGGTTGGACATGTGATTACTTTGGGTTGGACATGGGAGTACTTTTGGTTGGACATGGGAGTACTGGGGGTTGGACATGTGAGTACTTTGGGTTGGACATGGGAGTACTTTGGGTTGGACATGTGAGTACTTTGGGTTGACCATGTCAGTACTTTGGGTTGGACATGTCAGTACTTTGGGTTGGACATGGGAGTACTTTTGGTTGGACATGTGAGTACTTTGGGTTAGACATGGGAGTACTTTTGGTTGGACATGTGATCACTTTGGGTTGGACATGTGAGTACTTTGGGTTGGACATGTGATCACTTTAGGTTGGACATGTCAGTACTAGGGGTTGGACATGGGAGTACTTTGGGTTAGACATGGAAGTACCGAGGGTTGACAATGTTAGTACTTGGGGTTGGGCATGTGAGTACTGTTTCTTTTTTTACATTTGACTAGTAGAGTGTGTATGTGCTTGATAGTGCAGTGTCAGTCTTCTGCCATCTCATTAGGTATTGATTAGATGGGTCACATGGGAACCCTTACATTATGTCAAGGCTATTGAAACATAGAGCCCTGTAGAGACCATGGGTTGAATGAGTCCCCAGCACACCTTTGTTAGTTGTAAGAGGTGACTAAATCTGATCTAGACTTTCTTATTTACACACTGCTGTCATGTTGCTGGCATATTGCTGAGTGTGACATTCAACCACACAGACACACAAGTACAAAATAAATATGCTATGTATGTAGTCATTGGAAAATGGGTTGAGACGTCTTGAGATGTGCTTCTGGGGTTTCCTGACATTTACTCTGTTTTCCAGGATTGTGAGTTCCTGAAAAAGGCCCTGAGCATTCCTTGGACACTGTCCACCAGCCAACAGCCCCAGCAGCAGATCTTCTGGGCACCAGACTGTAGCCTGCCACAGTATTTTGATAAGGTTAGCTATGTCTATCCCATTAATAACACCTATGTTTTTGGATACCAGACTGCATCCTGTCACAGTATTTTGACAAGGTGAGCTATATCTCTCACATTGACAACAGCTGATAATTTTGATACCGGATTAGCCTGCCACAGTATTTTAATAAGGTGAGCTATATCTATCACATTGATAACTGCTGATATTTCGGATACCCTGATGTAGCCTGCAACAGTATTTGGATAAGGTGAGTCTGTCCCCATAAAATTTTGAGTACACTTGCTCCAGACATTTACTTCTTGCTTCTTCAGTGTCAATAACCATGGTGTGTTTATCTCCTAACTCACTCACTCTGTCTGTGGTAGGTTTCCCCTGGGGGAGGCTTTGGCCCCGTGTCTGACGATGGCTACGGTGTTTCATACATGATACCCGGAGAAAACCGCTTCTTCTTCCACGTCTCTTCCAAGAGGAATACCAGTAATACCAACTCCATGAAGTTCACCGACCAGTTGTTCCAGACATTGCAGGAAATCAAGGAACTCTTTGATGCCCATCTGAAAACATAATGCTAGAGACCTTAGACCAAGAATAGCATGAATGGTTCGTCAAGTTACAATAATATGAATATGTGATTTTCTGAGATTTTATATTGAACATAGGGATTGTTTGATGCAAAGTAATTGAATATGCAGTGGTCATTTTGTTGTCAAAGAGAAAACAAACTTTATGATTAAGGCTCCCACCTTTTACCAATGTTTTTAAGTATATGTGTTAAAAAAGGGACAACTTGCTGATATTTTTAGCGCCAAGGTTGCACCATACATGAATCTAAGCCTTCTGAGTTTCCTGAGTCAAAAAGTCCCTGGGTGATTGCTTGTGTTTTGGTCACAATGTAATCAAATTGGATCATTCTCTGATACAATTCCTGTCTGCGGATGATCTGACAACTCCTCCGTAGAACATCACATCAGGAGAACTTTCTAATCCGTTTCAAGCTTCTAAACTCCTGGTACCAGTACAGACCCGTGAAGATCCGGGTTAGACTCATGCTTGTTGTAAGAGGCAACTATCGGGATTGGGTTTTGATGCAGAATATCACATCCCAATGGCGTGGATCGATGCTCGTGATATCACTGAATGTCACTGAATTGATTATTTACGGACCGCTGTCATGCATAAATGCTGAGCCCGGGGTTCAACAAACAAACAGACCAGTACATCTGATTTCTATATCTCTAAAATGAAGTTAAACAGAGAATTCTGAAGGTAAATAATAAAGGCTGTGCCATGTCATTGTAGTAGATATTTCATACACCATGTCGTTTTTAGGGTCATGTCATCTACACGTAAGGGAGTTCCATCACAGGAATATTTGTGTAGCATGATGGTTTTCTTTTGTTGAAATCAAGTTTTTTAGAAGCTGTCATCTGATTTACTCAAGAAACCAAACATTCTTCATTTTAGATTTGGAAGTCAAAGTTCACACATGGTTGTGACCCATGGAGGTGTTGTCAGACCTTCACACACAGATGTATTGTATTGAGGTAAAAGATCTGATTTTGATGAGATTGTTATAATCACAGTAAACCTTGACCAGAGGTATATGAATAAATGTGTTGTATGGTATTAGATTTATGATGTAAAATAGTGATGTTTTATGAAAGGGCATCTTGAGGCTGTGATCACATGCTCAATTCCCAAGGCATTTTAAAGACTTGCATTTTTCTGTTACAAAGTCCCAAGATGCATAACTTGCACATTTACAATATGGATAGATTTTCAGTGTTTTAGTAAATTGGGCATTTTTAGAAATGCTTTGTAGAAGCCCTTTCTTCTTAGACATTATTGTTTTAGTTCAGTAGAGCTCCAAAAGACATATTTTATTATTTACATTTTACAAAACAGAGGTATGCCTTCTTTTGCACTTGCCTGTTTACTATGTTGATGTGGAAAGCTACATGAACCATTTCACTCCCCCCCCCCCCATCCCTCCCCCATCCCACAGAACGCTTACAGAGCCTTAAGGCCAGATCAATGTAATTGCTGGTTTGCTGGTGTGTGTGTGTTTTTGAAATAAATAAATACTCGACTAAATGTATTTGTTGCATTGTGCATAATACTGTATCTTCTTCAAACAAACACACACACACGCACGCATGCATGCACGCACACGCAAGCACGCACGCACGCACGCACGCACGCAGGCACACACACACACACACACACACACACACACACACACACACACACACACACACACACACACACACACACACACACACAGAGGAACATATTTTTAAGATGGTGGGGATTACGTCCTGTGACAGATTCAGATTAAATTGACCTGGCCTTATCATATTCCCAAAGCAAGGCAGTTAAATGACTATAAAAGTCCAGTTTCCACCCTTGCCAAACTAGGCTGGAATTATGGAATTATTTTTTGGCTTGACTAAGTCGACATCCGGTTTGTAAACTGCCATGCAGATTTACACAATATAAATTTTGATTATCGATGAGAGCGTCTTGACTGTGCACTGCCATTTTGTTTGAAGCAAATTCAAGTGATAGGAGTGGTGGAATCTGATTGGTCAATTGGAGGGGCTTAGAAGGGACACAACTTGTTATAGCCACTGGTGGCGTTATGATCGAGCCCAGAAATTCCAGTCTATATCAGCAACTGTGGAAGCTGGACATTTACAGTCAGTTAACTCCCTTGCCTCGGGCAGATGAGGCCTTACATGTACTTACAAGTGTGCCAAGACTGCTTTTTGGAAAGTGTCCTGGGTATTCCAAATATCTTAACTACCCTATTTTAACAAAGACTGTCATAAAACATGTGAATTGTTTAACAAGGCCTAGAACTAGCCTTGACCTCATTATTTGTTTACATGTAACCATGGCAACATGTAATTGCTGGTATCCTGTAACCATGGATGGCGCTCCACGAACAGCACAATTTATTGCTTGTGCCAATATTTCTGGTGTATAAACATGAAGTATTATTTGGGATTTTATGAAATCTACTTTCAATACAGAGAAGTATAGAAACACAAAGTCAATTATATTTGACAGTAAAGAAAAATGAATAGTACCTGTGTTGTCTTCTGATAATATTTTCTGTGGAAGTTTATGTCCTGATTTTACCAGCTTGATGAACAAATATATATGCCCATTTAATGGTGCTTTGTGAACATACTACATTATTCATACTATGGAAGATTTGAAGGCAAACCTAGGATCCGCATCTTCCTACTCCATACTTGACCCAAAGATGCCATGTGGTGTATAAGAACAAGTTTATTTTCATAGATTTAAAGCCTGCTGAAGAAATATATTATAAGACTAAAAATGCTCCCTCCCTTCCTATTCACGGTCAGTTCTATAAAGCAATCTTAGCGCTAAGAGAACTGTAATACCCATTCTTTAACATTGACTCGTGAAGCTAAGATTGCTCTGTTGAACTTGACTCAGGTTTGAAATCATCATGAGAAACAAATATTTGTTTAACTGTTTAAGTGCTAGTCTGCGAATGTTTTGCAGGATAAGAGGAAGCACTGCGAATGTTTTGCAGGATAAGAGGAAGCACTGCGAATGTTTTGCAGGATAAGAGGAAGCACTTCAATCTCCCTTACTTCTTACTCTCCATCTCATTTCATCAACATTCAGAGCATGTTTGTTCAGACACACGGATGTATGATGTGTTCTGGCCAGTCCAGTCTGTCTTGTTTTACAGATGTTTTATAGGCCCATATGCCAAAATTCAGGAAGAAAAAAGGAACTGTTATCAATGTCAAGTTACTAAACTTTGAATGCAGAATATTATTTTGAAAGCGCAGTGGTTTTGGGGTTGTTTTGCCCCACAAGAACACTCTATAGATAAAGATCCTAACCAGAAGAGAGAGTATGTATCTGTTGGATAGTGTATTTCTTGTTCTTACTTTTGCAATTTTACAACAGTTTCATCTTTAAATCTTAAGAACAAAATCATTCTGGCCACATCTTACAACGTTTCATGTTTGCATCACACAACATTATCAATGCAAAGAGACATTACCAGGTGTTTTAGTGTTCCAGATGAAGCTTGCCAAACATTAATAGTGTTATCCTGTCAACAAGTGTTATTTGTGTCAGAGTTTAGTCTTCGTTCTAACCTGCACCCATGCAACTTTGTGTGTGTGTGTGCAAGAGTTGGTACAGAAGTGGAAATGTTTTGTTGTATTTGCTCAACGACAAAGTGATGAATGTGATCCTGCTAACTTATTCCTTGTTTGGTTTTAACCATCCTCAATGCAACCGGTCCCCGGTTAGCACTGATGCATCAGAATGTAGGACATAGTTTATTATTTATCATTTTGTTTTATTGTTTTATTTTCATAGATTTACGGTTGAGAGAAATATTTTTAGTTCTCAGATTGTGTCTGCGTCAGTAAAACACATGTTACCATTTTTTTAAAGAATATAAATCAATGTTATTGAGTTGTGGTCGCATTAATACACTATGATGAATGAAGTTTCTTGTTGATGTTAGCTGCTCTGTAATTGGAGTATTTAATGGATTGTTTTTTTATAGAAAAGTTGTCTTGTGAAACTAGATGATTAAGATGATTACTTTAAAATAAGAATTAGACTAAGATTTTCTTGACTGGGCGCCAACATTTTATTTGAAGCAAAAGCAAGTGAAATGAGAGGTGGAATCTAATTGGTCAGTAGGAGGAACATAGAAGGGACATAACTCGTAGTAGCCTCTGTTGGCGCTATGATTGAACCCAGAAATTCCAGCCTATATCGGCAAGGGCCTTGTGCTGTCAGTTATCTCCCATGCCTCGGGAAGATGCACCCAGAAAGGTTACAATGCAGTGACCTCATAGTTTCAAGAATGTTTTGCTCTCTATTCCTATCATAATAAATTCGGAATCAACTCACTTTTTGTTTAATATTTTATGCCATGGCTTTAATGACTTGACAGTCTGTGATCCTGATAGCATCTCGTCATATTTGCAGTGGAATGACTCAGTGGATTTGTTACAGGACTCCCAATACACATCCGCGCTAAGTTGTGATAACGAAGTCGACCCAGCAGACATCTTTATGGCACTTATTCATTGTTGAAGACCACCTGTTTTAGTACGGGTGGAAACCCTAGCATGTTTAGTTATGTTAAAGTCTTGTGTAGGTTTTATTTGTTACTAAAGAAGATTATAGCCTATTGATGGCCTGAGAGATTTTATTTCATGACTTGTTTTGTTTGTCAGGAGGCTTGCTGTTGGAAATAGTGTGAGTTTTGATTTGGTTTTATTGAGGGTATGTGGTATAGAGATAGTTATCTTCAGATGTTGATTTTTATGGATGAAGAAATCCCTAATTTGGTTAAAGTTAAAAAAACCCGGATGTCTTTGAAAATCTTCTATTTTGACCCATTTTTGTTTGTGTTTTATAGCAAGAGTTATTTTTAGGGAAATAAATATCTATTCAACCCGATCATAATGTTTCGTTTTTTTTTAATAACATGTGCCTCTATTCAACAAATTCACAAAGACAGTCTATAAAAGAATAAAAATTATGAATTTGGCTCTTTTTGTATTACAGATAAAGTCAATCCTTTGATCCTTTCTGATGAATGATGTATCCCTCGGTTACTTTATACATAGATAGATTCTAACTTTGCTTTGTTTTTCTGGTAGATAGACTAGGAATGAACAGATTGCAGCATAGTCCCTGTGCACTTTAATTTCAGATCCACATTCCATGACTCGGACATTAATTCCAAAAGACAGGTACCATGGTTATTTTGCGTCCTATAGGTAGAATAGACCTTGACCTTGACCTTGCACTCCACTGTAAGCCCTGATGAAACACTTGTTGACCTGATGTTTATGCACCGACCTGTTTACAAGGTTGTGTCTATTAAATATATTTTTGTGTACTTTATATTACTTAGAATGTGCCATTCATGTGTTGCATGCATTGATATTAAAATAACTATGTTTTAATAACTGATGACAGTATGGAAGAACTTAATAAAATATACAAAGGAATGAATCAAATGTAGTTTATATGTTTGTGTGATTATCTCCCTTTACAAGGGGTCAAAATTAAAACTGTTCCATTGTACACGTTTGGTTCTGTGACAATATTCCCTGAAAGGGCTACAATTCCAACATGGCCTGGTACAAAAAGAAACTGATAACAATTAGTTCAACACCATTACACAGTCTCATGCAATAATACTGAATTCGGGGAAATAATTTCTTCTTGAGAGATGTACAGCAAATATGTACCGTGTCATCTGTTGACTAGTCCAAGCTTACATGGCAATCAGCTGATCACAGTTGCAGAGATATTGAAGTGTGACATCAGAACCAATGCCACAATCAGATTGTTAAGTCTGAAACAATACTTCGCTGTGTGAAGATCTAAGGATGGCTCTGTTGGAGGTAAACTTTCAAATCAGTGTTCAGGGTTCTAATTTTTAGTACGCGTAAGCGGTATTGTGGATATTTTATACATACTGTTGTCTGTGAGCACCATGACATCTTCACCTAAATGGGTGTACTATCTCGGGTATACTTGTGTCCTGTATGCTTTATCCTTTGATCAACATTTCTGAATCGAGGTGATAGAGAAATGAAGCCACATCATTTTGTGAAGCTGACATCTGATTTGCTCAAAAAGAAATCCATCCTTTATTTAGTTTGCAAGGTCAAAGTTTGCTCATTGGGCACTTGACGTGAGGTTTTCGTATCGAAGTAAAGATATTAATGACATTGACATCCCATACTTTTAGTTTCCTTGGAAGGTGAGCTGCTGTACCTATGTTTCTGTTGTATTTGATAAGTGACTTTGGCCTTGTGCTGGCTGAGATAAATGGCAGGATAAGCCTGAAAACTAAGATGCATGGTATTGAGAACTTAATATTGTGAATGATCACAGGTGAAGTGAAAATCTGTCTTCTTATCCAGTATGTTCTCGTGTCCGATCAGTAGGCAGGTGTAGGCAGTATTTGTTCAAGGACCCATAATGCTGCAGTATAGCTGACTGCAACTTTACAGAACTATGTTATAAAACGTTATTGCTGTGTAAAAGAACATGTGCAGTACTTTTTGTTGTGTAACCTTGTAATAACCCTACATGTTAGCCGAGTCCAGACTCAGATGCTTCATACATTACAGTATTGCTGGTGGCTTGTGTGCTGTAGCACAGACTATTGGAAAATGTAATCCCTGTTATGTGTGTAGGAGTAATCTACTGTTGTATTTTATGATAGGGACTTCATCTGCTATTAAATATTGGACTGGTGGACATAACAGTTTGAACAATGTTTTATCCGTGTGCTTCTCGGCCCTTGCATAGTCAGTCAAAAATATAACCAGTGAGGCAAATATAGTACTGGAAAGTAGGACCCGATTCTTTCATAATACTGGAGTTAATCTGTGATGTCATGACGATATTCAGCGATTTCTCTTATTTAGTGGGTCCCAGTCATCTAAGGTGTTGCAATTCACCATGCAGAGGTGTGTCCCTTAGGCATACCAGGATCTCATGATCACTGATTCCACACATCGGCGCATCCCTATGCTGGTGCATCCTTACATCAATACATCCCCGCAAGGGAATTTAAAAAATATGCACAGTACAAATCGAGAACTTGGTTTATCAGTTAGAATTTTGCTAATAGAATGATCTTAGTGCTATAACTATCACATCTCTTATTCTTTTTATCTGAGGCAGTTATGAATATGGTGCTGTGGAAATAGCAATGCATCGATAAATTTGGACCCATAGTGCCATCCCTTATATAATAAACATATGACTGTTATGTGTTGTGATAATTTCAAAGTAAAAATTGGAATGTAATATATATTTAATACTCATTGTTGATAGGGATGGGTTAATGATGCTAATGCACCACAATAAGCTGCGGACTTGCATCCTTTGCCAAGAGGTTTGACTCCTGTATTCTCTGTGGCACGGATCCTGTCAAAATCAGACTCTGTCTGTGGGTCTCACCGAAGTGCTAGAAAACAATGGCCTTCATCACTTTGGGCTTCCAACATCAAGCTGACAAACTGTTCAATGCAGCGTTAAACCAAACTCTCTGATAGGAACACGGGCGGAAGGGTAGCCCTGTGATTCGCTCATCACACCAAAGACCTGCGTTCAATTCCCGCAGGGGTACAATGTGGGAAGCCCATTTATGGTGCCCCCTGCCATGATATTACTGGAATGTTGCTAATAATGTGTGCAAAACATACTCAGTCAGTTGATAGGGCACAGAATATGCACACTGTTTCAATGTGTACATATAACCAAAGTTTACACCAATTTTGTGTAGTGTGGACATATAGGATACTAGTATTCCTATCAAGGTTTTTTAGTATTTATTACTCATAGAAATAACAGCGTTCATAAAAATCATATGTGTACTTGTGCAAATATCACTTCAGACGCTCCAATGTATGTTCTACTTCATCTGGACAGCATTGTTGACATCATTCAAATAATGGATAATAAAGAAATTATTACACTCACACGTGTCACTGATTTTACAAAACTTGGTAAGAATTATTAGATTACCCTCTCTCGTGGAAATACAAGAATTCTGACAGTCGTTTCTTAAAATCAGTATGACACATGCTCGTATAATAATCTCTTTATATCAAATGATTTGACCATCATTACATGATGCTATTTTTATGCTGAAAAAAACTCACTTATAGGGGTAGAAAGGGTTTCTGTTGTTTTGTTATTTTCCTCTATTCTTCTCACCAAGGCAGTGTTTGGTTGTCATAGGAACAGTTTCATTGGGATATTGATTTCTTTTATGTAATGATTTTACATTTAGAGTTTTAGTTTTTAGATTCGACTTTCATTGTATCTCTGTTAATGTATGTGACCAGAAACATGGTCCTCATTTCGTACCAGCAATGTATCCAATCAATGACGTATTTACAAATTTCAGCTATTTTGAGAGCATTTGATTACTTCAGTGACTACTGTGAATATAAATTAGTAAACTACCAGTGGCCTAGCGTAGTTGCTGAAGGCCTTGGCTACTTCCCCAACATAGGTATACATACTTCAGTGACTACTGTGAATATGACTTAGTAATCTACCAGTGGCCCAGCCTAGTTGCTGAAGGCCTTGTTCACTTCCCCAACATAGGTATACATACTTCAGTGACTACTGTGAATATGACTTAGTTATCTACCAGTGGCCTAGCCTAGTTGCTGAAGGCCTTGGCTACTTCCCCAACATAGGTATACATACTTCAGTGACTACTGTGAATATGAATTAGTAATCTACCAGTGGCCTAGCCTAGTTGCTGAAGGCCTTGGCTACTTCCCCAACATAGGTATACATACTTCAGTGACTACTGTGAATATGACTTAGTAATCTACCAGTGGCCTAGCCTAGTTGCTGAAGGCCTTGGCTACTTCCCCAACATAGGTATACATACTTCAGTGACTACTGTGAATATGACTTAGTTATCTACCAGTGGCCTAGCCTAGTTGCTGAAGGCCTTGGCTACTTCCCCAACATAGGTATACATACTTCAGTGACTACTGTGAATATGACTTAGTAATCTACCAGTGGCCTAGCCTAGTTGCTGAAGGCCTTGGCTACTTCCCCAACATAGGTATACATACTTCAGTGACTACTGTAAATATGACTTAGTTATCTACCAGTGGCCTAGCCTAGTTGCTGAAGGCCTTGGCTACTTCCCCAACATAGGTATACATACTTCAGTGACTACTGTAAATATGAATTAGTAATCTACCAGTGGCCTAGCCTAGTTGCTGAAAGCCTTGTTCACTTCCCCAACATAGGTATACATACTGTGAAATCTTGGTGTCCCTTGACATGATGTTGAGGGAAGTCTGAATACAGGCCCATCAACTTACTGACGTAATCAGTTGTTATTTAGGACCTATGAGTTATGGTTCTGTCTCAGGTGATATCACCACCATTCACTGCTCCTGGTGTTGTGTAGTTCATTGTTTTTACACTGTAGTATTTTATGCTTTGTTTCTGTATGATGTCATCGATACACATAAATAAACTGAATAAACTGTCTCATTATAAAGCCTGTTTGTTGTGATATATATGGGATACAGAATAATAGATTGTGATAGTGATACATACTTACATCAATTAGAAAAGCTGGATAGTATTACAAGGTGATTCCCAAATTGAAACGCAAAGGATAACCCAGGAATCGGTACATACCGAACTACATTGTGAAATCACCTGTGAAGACCCCGGGTAGAATAGGTCTTCAGCAACCCATGAAGGCGGCTATGCTTGTTGTAAGAAGCAACTAATGGTATCGGGTGATCAGGCTCGCTGACTTGGTTTATGCATGTCAACGTATCCTAATTGCGTGGACCGATGCTCATGATGTCAAACACTGGATTGTCTGGTCCAGACTTTAATATATACAGACCGCCGTCATATAGCTGGAATATAAGGCCTTAAAGTAAAGGAAGTGCACTCACGAATTTCAAAATTTTGTAGCTGTTGTATGTAGCTGAATCAGAATAGTGTTGGAAGCAACCATGAATTCGGGTGTTTACAACTAGGTATCCAGTCTGCAAGATTCGATACAGATTGGGTCGAAAATGGCCATGAATCGCCCTCGTGGCACACTTAGGTCGTATGTGGTAGGTACAGCCAGCAATCTTGAAACTACTAGATTCCATAAGGAAGAGAACATATGGATGTCAACTTCTTTATTATGAGGAACACAACGTTTTGGAGTATATGATGGAGGGTGGGGGTGGGTGTGTGTTTGTGTGTGTGGGGGGGGGGGTGGGGGGTGGGGGGTGGGTGGGGGGGTGGGGTGGTATTTTAGCACTGATTGGTGAAAGAATGGACATCGAAGGGGGCAAATTAAAGCCAGCCAGCCGACAAAGATCGAAGCAATAAGTCCCAAGCACTAAGCAGATAGGTTCCCTGGTCACGGTTCATGGCTGGCTGGTGTCTCCTGATGTCAATTTCTGGTCGAGTTTGCTAACAGAGGTCCGATGTTCTTTGAGTCTTGTGTTGAGGGGTCTAAGGGTTTCTCCAATGTAGTGGTGGCCACAGTTGCAGGGTATCTGGTATATACATCCTCAGGGGTTGGGACTCGCGCTGCTTGTGCCTCTGCCATTTGCTTGTAGATGGGTCTTCATAGACTTGCCGCTAGAGAAGGTGACATCTATGTTGGCTTTATTCTTGATGAGGCGGGAAATCTGAAGAGTGACAGGGCCTTGGTAGGGTATGGTGATTCTGATGGGCGATGGAGCTGGTTTGGGCCGGGGGTCGGAGTTCTTAAGAGTCTTGCGGATGGTTTTGGAGACTAGGTGGGCAGGATAGCTATTGAGGTACCTCTCAGGGCTTCTAGCCCCCTTAGGTAAAGATGGAAAACCCTTCATCAACGACTCCTCCTCTTTCGTCAACCAGCTGATGAGGGCCACTGACAAATTCAAACTGTACTCGCCAGATACAGATTCCATAGTAAAGACAATAACAATATCCTTGGTGGAACATTTTCAGACCTGTCATCACATTCCTCACCACAGTCAAATAACACAACCGTTTATGTTGTTGGCGGCCTGTGGTGTGGGCAGTATAGCCCGTTTTACTGACTTTCTTATCAATCCTATAATGACAATGGTATTTAGCCCTCGAAGGTAGACCAGGGATGGGTAGGTAACAACAATGGGTTTTTGTGTAAAAGTATTACTATTTATTTGGGACAAGGGGGAGGGGGTTCCATTTATCCGAGACTTATTTTGTTTACTTACCACAAATCTATTCTAGGTACACCTCAAGTTTAATTCTAATCAGCACAATACTAATTGTTGGAACTGTTTTAACCTCTAAATAGGTCTTCATGAAAGTTAAAATGATCTGCACCTCAGCTTCAATCCCCGGCAACTGCTAGTGCAGTTTTGAAACTGATTTCTTTAGTTCTATATACCAGTATGTATAACTATATAAGGCAATAGACACCTCCAGTGTTAGGTATTGTGATACTTCATTAATGATATGCTATATCAGAGCAAGAAATGTAAAATGTTTTGTTATTTTGTAGTAAGGCCAATTCTGTTTAATTGCTGGCTTTACAGACAGGCAGATATCTCAGATGTCAGGAAATAGTACATACTGATGTTGATTGAAGTGTATGGATGACATTTATGCATACTAGTAGTTAGTAGTATTTCAAACATTACTAGGCGGTTTTGTTAAATTCTGTTTCCTACTTCACATTGTAAGTCATTTTCTCATCCCAGTCAACCCCAGGTCACAGGTAAAACTTTAATGTTTTACCTTTGGCATGTCCGAGTTTGTTTTAAACAATAGTCATCTTCCTTACATCTTGAGCTTGAAACTTAACTGGTTGTTGAGCATGTGCTGATTTTCTAGCTTGGTGTTGATGGGATATGTGTACACAGGAATTATGTCTTTGGCATATTCCTGATGTTGATGGTCCGCTGATTCTTAAACCAGTTAATACAAAATATAATGCCTTGTAATGAAACCAATTATATTTCAGTTATTTATATAAAAATATTTAGGATTAATCAATCATCATATGTTTTAAACCTGTGAGTTGTACATAGACAGACATATGTTATTATATAAAGCTTGGCGAGATTTCGTTAAATGTGTTGTATTTTGTCAGATGAGTGTTCTCTGTACTGACAGTTTCATATCTTTGGAGGCCCTCGAGTTTGACTACTGGTCAAATACATATGTGCGAGGTGTTTACGAGTACAGAACTAGCGCACTTGACATGCCCATAGGTAACTAGATCAGGCCCTCGTGCGTCTTTTACCACTTTTTAAAATCTGATTCGGAGACTGGATTACCCAATATTGGATCTGTGTGTTGGTAGAGGAAGCTTGGATATCTTCATGATATATTCATCATTTGTTTTGCAAAATAACTGTCAAGTTCAGGTTTATCAAACGGACTACTTTATACAGTAAGGGACATTCTCGCGATCTCGACCTTTGGAAACGAGACAAATATGTCAAAAAACAAGAACGCGAGATCTTGAGAACGCGCGATTTGGCCGTAGAGTGTAGAGCGGTAGTTATCGAGTCCATGTAGCATTATATATAGTGTCTTTGATTTCATATTTAGGGTTAGGAAATGTTAATCCTACATACACGTCTATTACTGTTTCATGCAGTTTGAGTTGGACTGTATCTGCTTTCGACCCCTTGAACAATTGTAGATGAAACTGTTTCAATCCAGTGAAGAAAATGTCACCAAGAAATGTTAGTATCACAGGATGTGGTCAGAAATATTAAAAGGGATTGTACAATTTATATTTGTTTCAGAACAGACAGACAGACAGACAGACAGACAGAACTACAGAACTAAATCATTGTACCCGTTTGTAACACATACTTCCTGTTATATTCGATGTAACTATCATCAACCAGTGATTTAAGCCAACTCGTTGCTGAGAATATACTTTTAAATATTAGCTAGCATTGTGCAGAGGTATAGAGGCCATCACGCGAGTGTGTTTGGGATGGTAATATCCTGTAATAGGAACAAAAAATGGTTTTTAGCAAGCCTTGCTTGTATGCTATGCTTGTAGATATGTAAACTTGTTCTCGTCGCTGTGTGGCTGAAATAATGCCGACGAAACGTTAAAACTCTACACTCGCTCATGATATCTTGAGCCCAGGTGCTGTGCACCCATTGTCAGACAACAACGTGCCCATCCGCCTGGTGTACAGCAAGTGACATCTTAATAACATATCTATAGCATAGCTAAATCGCAAAGAACAATGAAGAACGAAGCGTGGTTTATTTCACGATAAAATATAGTTTTATTATGACGTCATTTTTGGAGATACTAACATGCGCTCGCAACTTGATGACGTCGTTTATTTGACGACGTTTTTTTAGAGGGGAGTGTCTATTGAGTTGTTCCCCATAGTCACAGCAGGGCAACGCAGATAAATGCGATGGCCGAACGATCGCATACAAAAGCGGGAGCGATACAAGAATCAGTATTGGGACAAAAGATACAGGTAATCGACGTGACGTGAGAATATGCGGGAAATACCCACCCGTGCATAAAATGGAATTGTCCGACATTTCCGAGGTCGGATACTATTCAGGGAGTCATCATTTAATATTAAAAATTATTTTAAAAGCTTGTACATTTTATCACCATCCTTGAAGAGATTGGACATAATGTTGATATCGCATATAGGAAATAAACGACTCAGGTCGTTGTTTATCGTACAATAAATTACTGCTGCGCCCTTCATGGTTTAATCTCCATGCATTGTACGATAGACAACTCCCACTCGTCGTTTATTTCTTAAATATCTTCATTTATAATGTCATGACCTACTACTGACATACATTCAAGCAAATGGAGAAACCTAGTAAATATATCATCTGTCCCGTGCTTTTGTAAAAGTCAAATGAACTTGATTTTACGACTTATTACATTTTGAAGTTATGTAATACCTTGGAGCCGAACAAGAATATGTGTACCATCGTATATAAGATGTGCAGCATGTTATAATCGTTAAATATCTTTTTGTACATGTTTTTGACCATGCAGGTTTGATAATACCGCACAATCAATCTTAGATTTAAAATTACCTCAAGGATTCTAAGTGAAATAACTACACATGCATGTTCTAGTTTTTTATGCCTAAATAATAAGTGTTTCGAAAATGTTTTCTTTAGGAAGGTTGAATACGGGTTGTATATGAAACTTGTATCATATGGTGTATCGCTTTATCGCCTCGTGGTATCGTTTTGAAGGCGAGAAAGCGATACCACGAGACGAGAAAGCGATACCACGAAACGAGAAAGCGATACCACGAAACGAGAAAGCGATACCACGAGACGGGAAAGCGATACCACGAAACGAGAAAGCGATACCACGCGACGGGAAAGCGATATGTGAAGCAATATCCCCACTTATAGGGGTGTTATGTCTTATGTGTAACAAATATATACATATACTTAAAACAATAGTAACGAATTGTTGAAACAACAATTAGTATCATTAAGGGGCTGAGGATATAAGGAGTTGGTGTCGTGTTGTTGTTTTCTGTT